CCGCCGCCACCGCCACCGGCCCTCGGCAGCCTTCACGGGAAGTTCGTGGTGAAAGCCCTGGGGGACTACAACCACCTCAGCCTGGCCGGCAAAGGTGCCCCGGCTGACAGCCCTGCCGGGCAGCCCTACAGCCCCCTGCCCAGGATGTGCCAAAAGATCAAGCAGGAGGCCGCCCCCTCCTGCCCCATTGCCCAGCCCCACGGGGGGCCGCCGCCCCCCCACGACTTTGCCCTGGGGCGGCCCCTGCCCGCCAGGACTACTGCTGAGGAGATGCTCGGTAGCAGAGACTGCCATGCCTCCCCTCCGGGGCTAAGCCACCCCCCACTGCCGCCGCTGCCCCCCGGATACCACCCTGCCCCCGGCTACCCGCCTTTCCTGCCCGAGCAGCTCCCGCCCGGCACCCTGCAGTACCAAGGTCAGTCTAAGTATCTCGGTGCTTTCGGAGAGCCCGGCACGGTGCCACGGTTGGGGCGAGGGGTGATGCTGACTCCGCCCTCTTCGCCCTTAGAGCTGATGCCGCCCGGGAGCTGCCTGCCCGAAGAAACCAAGCCAAAGAGGGGGCGCCGGTCGTGGCCCAGGAAAAGGACCGCTACGCACACCTGCGAGTATGCGGGGTGCGGCAAGACCTACACCAAGAGCTCTCATCTCAAGGCACACCTGAGGACCCACACAGGTAAAGGCCGGGGCTTGATATGCATGGGGCTGAGAGGCAGGTGGTAACCCACACTTTGCATGGAAACAGACCCTGCTCTGGGCTTGGCAGGGGGGGACGGGACAGACGAGGTGATCAGCCACAGCAACTAAAGACTAAGCCTTTCAACCAGGAAGAAAAGGGCTAGGTTCTTGTGTGAGAAACAAGGTTTGTGAGGTGAGGTAATATATATTTTATTGGGCCATTTTTGTGTAGCAGGGAGAGATGAAGGACAAGCTGTCAGGCTGCAAGTGCCCTCCATCAGGCATGAGAGAGAAACTTGATGAGAGTGACTTTTTTTTTTTGTTCTAGCCCTAGTTAAAAAAAACCATACAATTTATGGCTCTACCTATTGGATTGGAAGGTTACTTCATGGATCAAAATGACTCAGACATGAGAGGGTGTTTTTGCAGACACCAAGTTTGTTTGCATGTCTATTGCTATGTGGCTAGTTAATTGGCAGGTAGCTGAAAGTCAACTGGATTTGTTGAGCTGCATAGCACTGGCCCAATTTTGTGACAGGAGCAGATGTTGCAGGCCTCTTAAGGGTTTCTTTTTTTTTTTTAACTTGCTTTGGTCTTAGTTAAGCTTTTTTTTTTTTTAAACTCGTGTCTTGGCTTGCTCCTGTAACTTGAGAGATTCTATTACAAGCAGTTCCCAAGCACTCTCAATTCACCAAAGGCCTGAAATTGCTGGGAGTGGCTGATAATTTTTGAGGGAAGCCAGATCAGAGCCCCGCAGATAACAGAATTATAAAATACTATGTGTGTGATTTAATAGCAGCAGGACAATCTGTATCCTACATTGGAAAGTTAGTCTTGCCTTCCGTTTCATTAGTTCTGAAAAATCTAGCCTAAGATTATTTGACTACTGCTTGAATAGAAATGAAATAACATATTCATGTTTACATTTAAGCTTTAGCTTTGCCAGTGAAGAAACCCTTTTCGCAGTCACAGTGTTAGGGAAAGCACTTATAGTCAAATGGTAGTCATAGTTTTGACAGTCCCTAATAATAAAATGATAACTTGGAGCTTTGAGTAATTCAGGACCCCTGAATGAAGCTGCCAGAAATCGATTTGGAATGTGTTCTGGGTGAAGAGGGGTTGCGGAAGAGAGAGAGTGAGAGAGTAGTTCAAGGTTTAGAATACAAACTAGAAAACAAATAATTCTCCAGCTCATATCAGTGGGAGCAAAACTGGGTTCAGTGTTTCTTCAGAAGTAAATGGCTAGTAGTAGTTCTTATGGTGTCCTTAGATCTGGTAACTGTTTCCAAAATGCTTTGGTGCTTAGTTGGTAATTGCTGGGGAGGAGAACGTCTTGAAGCCAACATGAGTTTAGCTTTAGTAAAGACCGGGAAAATAAGCTCCTAATTTGACGAAGTTGATCTAATGAAAGTAGTTTCCAGACAGTTCTTTAATTCTCAAAACCTACAATTACCTAAATCCATGATGTCTACCAAGTGATTTCTGGTTGATATTTGACTGTATGATACCATCATCAGCCAGCGAAATGCATGCAGGTCCTTATACTATTATCTGGATTTAAGTGTCATACGTACAAGACAAATGATGGAAATTAGCATTCTATTTAAGGTTACAATAATACAAACTTCATATAAATACATTTCATAACCTTGTTGTGCAAAAATGGGCATTTCTTTTATTCTGGTTTTTAGATTCCATTTGTAACTACAAAATATCACAGCCTGATTTATCTTATTGAACACAAGCAATTTTTGTTCTGCATTTCAAAGCATTCAGAGTTCCTGAATGCAAGATGTGGAATTAAGGCTGGAATCCTGTTGTTGCTGGAACAAGCTAATGCACCTGCCTATCAACTGACCCATGCCAACCTAACTGATGTGGTTCTGTCTTGTTTTTTGAAGGAGAGAAGCCCTATCACTGTGACTGGGAGGGCTGCGGGTGGAAATTTGCCCGCTCTGATGAACTTACTCGGCACTACAGGAAACATACTGGCCATCGCCCTTTCCAGTGTCAAAGATGCGACAGAGCATTTTCCAGGTCAGACCACCTTGCCTTACATATGAAGAGGCACTTTTAATTGGAAGCAGTGGATTTTTTTTTCCTATACTGCCATAAGAGATTCAGTATTCACAGCACAGACTGGCTTCCGCAGGAGGGAGTGACACAGCTAAAGCACTACAAGGAATCATGGTGAAGTCTTCCAAAGAGTGGGAATCAACTGATAATTACACATGTTGGAGCTCGCTCTCTCTCTCTCTCTCTCTCTCTCTTTCTCTTTCTCTCTTTATCTGACTCTATGGTATAATGGTTCGCACTCTGGACTTTGAATTCAGCAATCTGAGTTTAAATCTCTTTTTCTGCCCTTTTTTTCTTTTTTTAATAAATTAAAGAAGAACATTGGGGTCAATGACTGGATCTTCTATCATTCCATTTGTAAATCCAACTTGAATTTTTCTGGACTACAAAATGCCAACAAACGACTGGAAGTCAAGGCTATCAGGGTTAAAGAGACTGCTTTTGGGCAGGGGTGGGGGGCGATTACATGGGGAGATCACATTCCCTTAAATTTTGGCTCAATGCAATATTAGATGTAAATGTCATCTTGTATTTTCTTTTTCCTTCTAAAAAGCCATTACTATGTTTAAAAGAGGAGGAAAAAAATTCAGGTACAGAATTTATGTTTAAAAGCCTATTTCATGGTGCTTAGTGACTGTTGGTTCTAAAGGTACCAAAAACAGGAAGCCAAAGTTCTCAAACTGCTGCATATCTGACAAGGAATTATTTTTGTCTTCCGATTGACCTAAATCAGGTAAATAAACCTGGTTTTTTTTTTTTTTTTTTTTTAAGAAAATAACTTTTATGCAGACAGTCTGTAATGCACTGTGGTTTCGATGTGCAATAATTTGTACAATGGTTTATTCCCAAATATGCCTTAAGCAGAACAAATGTTTTCTATATAGTTCTTTACATAATAAATATGTAATATAAATTTAAGCAAACTTCTATTTTGTATATTTGTAAACTACGAAGTAAAAATGAACATTTTGTTGGAGTTCGTATTTTGCATATTCAAGCTGAAAATAAGTTTTAAATAAACCTATAATATTTTATCTGAATGGCTTTTCCATTTTTCTGCACACTGTTCCTAAAGAAATCATATTTTCAAATGTTCAGTGACCAATAGTGTTTTTAAATGGCTTGGGATTATAGGTTCTTATTCAGGCAAAGCTGTAGGGTGAAGACTAAAGTTGGGTTCCTGTTTCCAGTGCTGCTATGAAGCTTTGATGTTAGGAAAAGAAATGCACTGGAAATTACTTGCTCTGACTATTGAGTCGCTATTCATCTCATCTTCTCCATACTGCAGATTCATGACTCTCCATTTTTTAAGTTGATATCTTTTGAATTATTTATGAGTAGAGGAGCATTACCAACTAAAAAGTCAGAGACATATGCATTCAAAATTTTAAAAAAAGAACCCCTTTAGGATCTCTTTAGAAACTAGTCTGTGTTTTAATAGCGAGCAATCTCTGACTTTGTGCCTTCCGTGCGATACCCACATTAATACTTAGTCCAATCTATTCATTGAGAATTATTTTTAGCTTCATGAGCTTCTATGTTTACATTGTCTAACATTTTATATTGTCAAGAAATTAGTGTTGTAGCATGAAAAATAAACTCTATTTCAATGATAAACTTTGGGGTAGGTGTCTATAATAGTCAGACATTATGTTGTGGGAGTATAATCTGAGGTCTGATGTGTCTTGAAAACAACCTAAGTGAGAATTTGGGGTCTTTGAGGAGTGTGTGTGTGTGTGTGTGTGTGTGTGTGTGTGTGTGTGTGCGCGCACATATGCGTGCGTGCACACATGTGTTTGCACGTGTCATTCAAGACACAAGAAGCTAGCTAAGCACAACTGCTACATCTGCATAGAATTCAGTAAGTTGAGCACTAGACTACCATCGTTGTAAGAATGTACTAAGTTGCTGGTTACGGCTAAAATGTTTGATCTTGCATACCTTGCAACCTGCATGTGTAATGTTACGTGCTCTAATGAGATGAACAGAACTTGTTTCATGAATAAAGTACTTATTTCATTGCAACACTGCTGGTCATAGCTCAAGATCTCCATTCAGTGAGGCTCTTTACCATTACAGTATTACTTAGGATCATAATATTCACAGGATCTGTCCAAAATTTCTGAGGTTTTTCACTACACAATGTAAATGAAAAGAGAAAAATTGTCCCCTTTATACGGGTTTAAAATGTCCATCTAGGAATTCTTTAATATTGTTTATGCTGTAAATAATAAAGCAGAAAATGGAAAATATATTTCAATCAGATTAGTTAATATTTTGCTCTTTAAAAAATAACAATATTTTTTTTCCCAACTCTGTCTAAAGAACACAATTAGACTTCATATTTTCTTTGTGTGGTATGTTGTTTATTGGTGGTGTGAGTGGTCACATTTCTTACCAAGTCAAACTAACATAATGGAGTTAAAACTATTCCTTACCTCTTGTCTGCAATGGACATTATTTGGTCAACTGAAAGGTGTCTGATATGTGGAAAGGTGTTTAGGATTTGCATATAACCAAAGAACTGAAGCTAAACTTAAGTTATGAGCTATTCTTTATCTGCCGGATTTTTAAGATTAAAATATTTTAAGGAGAAACTATCCTTTGTATTGCTTTGCTTCAAATAATGATGCAGCACTTTAGGGAGTATCCAGCGTCAAACCCGAAACTGTTTGACTTTCAAGCTTTGTTATGTTCTTCATGTACTTGCCAACAGTGTTGAAACTATACTTGCCTATCTGTAGATAAAATGAATGTACAGATGATTTGACTATGGATTGGAACCTGTTGAAATACCTTCAGAATGAAGGGCTCCGATTTTACACCAGAAGACTTGATGTAAGTGAATTGTTTTTGCACTTTTATAATGAGGTAAAATAAAGATGTCTGAACATTTGGAGCAATATGGTTTTTAAAAAATACCATTTTTTCTTCTGATGCTTTTATAGGTCCCAGCTGCTTAGGTGTATAGATGATTAGGTTTTGTTTCCTAACAATCTATAAATTACTGTTTTGCTCATTTTGGTAACCAAGAAGTCTATCTTTCCAAAACTAAATAAAAAGGATTGAGCTCAGTATCGTAAAAAAAAACAAAAAAACTTTACTGCATTACTTTAAACACAATGCCACTACATATATATTTTAGGGCATGTGCCAGCTCACAAGTCATGTAACAGCCCATGAGAGGCAGACCTACTTCGAAAAGAGGTCTCCAGGGGGAATACTGAAACAAGCAGTTATACCAGTTATACTTTAATATGCAGGTATAGCTAAAAATAGCATATTGTGTTAGCCACCTGTTCAATTATGTCTTGGATCCGGATCCTGGAGTTCGTATTTAGCTGAGAGAATGTAAATGAATCTGGTGGAACAATACCTGCTATAATAATAAATTCACCTCAAAACATATGTAAAGCACTAAACCATTCTATTATACAGGCTTTTACGTAAATGTTTTCTTTTCTGAGCTGGGTATTTCTAGTCAGATGCAAACCTTTCTGGGTCATTTCAAGCGAGGGCTCAGCACCTACAGCTGCCCCTTGAGACCACTCTTCCACTTGATCAGAGGAAATGTGTTCATAGTCAAACTACAGCTGTGATTAGTGCTATTCACCCTTAGCCCCACCATCCATTCAACACAGTTAGCGTGTGAAGATGAGCAGCTTAAAACAAGATGACACATGTTTGTCTTAAAGGTGCCAAGTTTTCAAAAAGTGCATTTGAATAAAAATACTCAAGGCAATAAGTATGATTACTACATATGGCTCCTTTGTACTTGCCTGTTGCAGAGCTTGGAGTGGAAGCTAGTATGGTTTAAACTACTTCATTATTTGTAAGTTAGTGCAGATGATTTCAGTTTCTCCATCAGGCACATTCTTAGGAGTGTTGTTCCTTCTCCTACTGACCAAATCTTGCTACCTCTAACATTGCTTATAAAACTCACACTAGTTTCAGTTAATCTAATAGAATTTGTTCCCTTTCACCTTCAAAAGGGGAGATTAGAGACCCCTGTAGATAATCATCTCTAGGGTAAAAATGGCTCCATTGAAAAACCATAAATTTGAGACATTGGACCTTTTTCCACTGAAGTCTCTGACAAAACTCCCATCGATTGCAATGGGAACAGGATCATGTACCTTAATAGTACTCAAAGGGTGTGTCTACATGAGATGCTACTGCAAAGTGTGTGGCTACTGCATGTTTATTTAACACTTGATTATGTATAATCAAGTACTAAATAAATGTGCAGTAACTGAAGTTACTACACAGTAGCGCTAGCAAACACCTTTTAAGTGATGCTACTGCACAGTAGCTGAATAATACTAAGCAGTAGCATATTAATACCACTGGTGCTGTGATGCGCTACTGCACAGTGTTGTTTGGCTACTGCGCAGTCAGCATCTCATGTAGATGCACCCAAAGAGAGTTTCAATTATGATAAAATGAGCTTATTGTAAACTGTATTCTTTAGATTGCTAATCTCCTTGCCTTGCTATTCATTAACTGACTTATTTTTGAGCAACAGAAGAACCTCAGTGCATTATAAAATGTTGCAGTCTTTCAAATGGAAAGTTATATTGCAGAAGCCTAGAAAGGAAGGTTCTAAACAGTAGGAGTCTGTTCTGAGAATGCAGATGCCACCTACAGTATGTGAAATTGTCGACAAAACCAGCAACCAGAAACCTATATAGATCGGCTGCAGCCTGGAATTGTGGGTATGGATTGCTGACATCACTGAGATGACACCTCTGCAGGGACTGAGGTAGTACAGGCACGGAGGTTCATGGATGGCAGCCCAGAGTTTGTAAGTCTGAGGCCATAGCAGAAGCACTTGTGGTATTTTCCAACAAATCTGCAAATTCTGCTAAAAACTTTGTCACAAAGGCACAGGAAAAAAAAGGTCAGCTCTCCAGGTGAACAGATCTGTCACTGACCACTGCTTAATTGAAGCCATGGCTGCTCACAGACACGAAAAAACCAGCACTTTAAGCTCAGTGCACCCCCACAACAAATGCCATACATGCCCAGAAGAGGCATCACATTAGTTGGATCTGGCTCTCCCAACTTCTGTATAGATCAGGTGCTTCAATAGGGCTTTTTGGCACTTTTATCTAACAGCTTATTGAATCAGCTTTAGATAAAAGTGCCAAAAAGCCCCACTGAAGCGCCTGTTCTATACAGACGCTGTGGAGCCAGGCCAAGCTAATACGTTGCCTCTTCTGATGAAGCACTTTTGCTTTTTTCCATGTCTGTCAGCGCCTCCTGTTGCTTTCATGCTGTGCTCCTAGCTTAGGGGTGGCACACCCACATTTCTCACTCCCTAGTGCGTGAAGCTGACTTAAGTACTGTCTGCTAGCTGTTGTTAGCTCTGTTAGTCTTGAATGAGAAGTATATGATATTAGAGAGAAAGCACCAGAGAAGTTTGACATTAGAGAGAAGACCAGCTACTGGAGTCTTGTTCAGGGCTTGCGCGGGATATTCACGGCCTTGGTCTCCCCTATTCTTCAGATAGGCATGTTCTGGGCTGCTTTTCACCTTTCTAAGTTTACATGGGGATCCTCTGAATTGAAATCTTGTGCGTGGCAAATGCTTGATGTTGCAAAGGGAAAAAATGGTTTGTGTTTTATTAGCATTTCTTGTATGGAGTGTACATGTTGCAAATGGCCCGATAGGCTAAAAGCACTAGGAGCTGACCACAGCAGGTGCCAATCTCAATCCT